GGGGGGGGGAGGGTTTCAAATATGGGAGTCTGTACAGAAACAAAAGAAAAGGAGATAGATATGAAATCAATGAACTAAGAATTACAAAGATGTTGTTTACCTGCATGATTAATGATTATTACAGCTGGACATTTTTTTTTTAAAAAAAAAATTCACGTCAGCTACAAGGAAGACACGTTCACACGATCGGCATGTAGTGAATGGTTGGAGGCGTATCGTTGGGGGTTGGACGGAACAGATTAGACCGGAAGTCTAGGTAATAATGATGATGCTCATCTTCCGTTCATTCACATGATGGCGTAATAGATGGGAAGATGTGACATGACAATCCTAACTGCACATGTGTGTGTTTGTGTGTGTGTGTGTAAAGTGAGAAAGAAAAAAAATATAAAAAATATAAAAAATAAAAAGGCTGTGGTCACATCTTCAGGCGAGCTGCTGAAACGTCACAAGAGCATATTGAGTATCTGATATGGAGAATGGGGGGAGGGGGGAAGGAGGAGAGTACGGTTGTGATCATGAGTAGAGTGCAGATCTCACATCACTTGTTGAAAGGTAACGAGCAAAGGCGGGGGTGATCACGATCTCTCTCTCTATCTCTCTCCTCTCTCTCTCTCTCGCGGCATTCCTGCGGAGTGAGTCTTCTTCTCCTTCTCCTTCTTCCGACATTGAATTGATCACGGCCTGTAAGACCACGTGCCATACTTTTTTTTCTCTTTCTCTTTTGTAGGTTAGGGATGCCGAATGTACGAGCGAGAGAGAGGTGGAGAGAGGTGGAGAGCATCATATGGATAATCCGCTTCGGGCAACCTCTACTAGTATTGCTAGCTGCGCAAACGGTGTGGAATGGGCAGACATAGACAAGCAGAAGTGAGATGATGTTGATGATCTTGTGCTAACCAGTTGGGAAGGTCAAAACCTCAGATGCGGAGGAAATACCGGGAGTCTCGGATCAATGATGAGTCCTGGTTGGCTCTTCCCCACGAAACAGGATAGAGGCGGTCATGGGTCACGTATGGAGGAGTACTTGTACACATATACTTATTATACATATACATATATACATATGCATATATATACTTTACGTCTATTGATCAAGAAGAAAAGAAGAAAGAAGCAAGAAGAAAGAAGCAAGAAGAAAGAAACAAGAAAAAAGAGTACACGAATTATTCCGAGCAGAAGAGAGGGGGGGAAAGAGAAGAAAGGGAAAAGAAAAGGAGACAAAACAAAGGAGAGAGATACAGAAAGACAGAAGAGAACATCTCCAGCCTTCGACACCAGAGAGCCCCCAGATGGCTGATGGTGGTCTCGGTGGTGCACTGGCCTGGGGCCTGCAGCGTGCCCGCTATTGCTGCGTCGTCCTCGGGACTATTTTCAGGGATCCCGGACGACGGGCTCCAGCTCGGCATCGTCGTCAGCAGCATCGGCAGCATCATCGGTATCCGAGCTCGACCGATCTGCCCGTCTCGTCGATCGAGCATCTGCTGCTACCAGACCGCTCCGGCTCCAGCCGGCACGACGACCAAGAAGAGCACGGAGACGTCCACCCTTGCTCGTGCGAAGCCACACGCGGAAGCAGCAGCAGTGATGTCGGGCCTCTACCCGACCGCTCCCCCCCTCGACCGCCGTCCACCCTCCCCCCGCCCGCCTCGTACCCGGGGTCCTCTCTGCCGAGCAGCCGTCGCCGTCGCCGCGGCCGCCGACTCTGGCGGCAGAGATGTCCGTCACGGTGCCGCGTGTTCGCGGTGATGCTGACGCTGTCGGCGGCGGCGCTGGCCTTGCTCGCCTGGCGATCGGAGACGATGCTGCGGCTGCCGTGGACGCCGGACGAGGAGACGCGGCTGTTCAGCTCACTGCCGCTGCCCCCGGCGTCGGGGAGGCTGGAGGCGGCCAACTTCACGCTGCCGCTGCGGACGCAGGGGCGCGACATCGTCGACGCGACGGGCCGGCGGTTCAGGCTGGCGTCGGTGAACTGGTACGGCGCCAGCGACGAGAGGTTCGTGGTGGGCGGCCTGGACGTGCAGCACCGCGACGTGATCGCGCAGACGATACGGCGGCTGGGCTTCAACAGCGTGCGCCTGCCCTACGCCGACGAGCTGGTGACGGCCAACCCGGTCGTGGACCCGGACGCGGTGTCGGCCAACCCGGACCTGGCCGGCAGGCGGGCGCTCGACGTGTTCGGGGCGGTGACGACGTCGCTCACCGAGGCCGGGCTGGTCGTCATCCCCAACAACCACATCACCAGCGCGACGTGGTGCTGCGGGGCCGACCCGTGCGACGCCGGCTGGTCGAACGACCACCTCGGCCCGGCGTGCCGCGTCCGCCAGACCGAGGAGGGCTGGATCCGGAACTGGGAGGCCGTCATGCGGCCCCACGTCGACGACCCGCTCGTGGCCGGCGCCGACCTGCGCAACGAGGTCCGCGGCCTCTGGGGCACCATGCCCTGGCCGTCCTGGGCCGCCGCCGCCGAGCGGTGCGGCAACCGCCTGCTGGCCATGAACCCGCGCTGGCTCGTCGTCGTCGAGGGTACCGAGTCGGCCAACGACGTGTCCGGCGCCCGCCGCCGGCCCGTCCTCCTCGACGTCCCCGACCGGCTCGTCTACTCGGCCCACGTCTACGCCTGGTCCGGCTGGGGGAGCGTGGGCGGCAGGTTCGCCCAGCGCACCTACCGGTCCTTCGCCGACTCCATGCGCCGCAGCTGGGGCTACCTGCTCGAGCAGGACGTCGCGCCCGTCTGGGTCGGCGAGCTGGGCGCCTCGCACTCCCCCACCCGAGGCGCTCGGACCTACTGGTCCAACCTGTTCCGCTACCTCAACGACGTCGACGCCGACTTTGGCTACTGGGCTCTCAACCCGAGGAAGCCCAGGAGGAACGAGCACGAGTCGTACGCTCTCGTCGCGGACGATTATCTCACCCCCATTGTAGATTATCGCATGAAGGATATGGTGGAGCTGATGAATCGATAAAATCATCCTCTCGTCTCTCTCCGCTCTCTTTCATCTGTTTCCTTACTCTCCCCTTCTCTCTTCGTTATTGGTTGTATCGTGCTTCGGGACTGTTTGCTTCTCTACTTTCCTCTCTCTCTCTCTCTCTCTCTCTCTCTCTCTCTTCTTCTCCCTCTTATGTATTCATTGAAATCAAAATCACTACGAGTAATCATCTTCTCCTCAAGATAACTCTTGACTAGTGACAACTCCTCCCAGAGGCTACTATTTCCCCGGTAGAGACCTGCCGTCCGTACACCTTCTTATCGATAAGAAGCCATCGTCGTCCATTCACAACCCCTCCGGGACTTGCGTGGCGACAGAAAGTTGTCCGTGACCCAACTATACTTGCTGTGCCTCTTCTCCTATCCTCTTCTTCTGCATACCACTTCCTATAGCCGAGCCTTCCCCTCACACCCTTACCCCGACGGAGAAAGAAAGAGAGAAAGGAAAAGACGACGTGTCCAACCTCGTCTGACCCATCCGAATGCCACTCTTCACCTGGTAGCACGCCCCGTATCGACGGCGGCCAACCTGGCAAAAGAAACCAACCCCCCCCCCCTCTGACTCTCCCCGCCCGCTGCTTTTTTTACAGACCCAATGGACAGCCGAATCAGATCTTCTCCTCCCCAGGGCTCCCGGCCTCTGCGGGTGGGGAGATGCAATGTCCAGACTTCCGCTGAACGGGTACGTATCAGATCCCCACTTCCACTCCCTCCCCCCCCCCCTCTCTCCTCTCTCCTCCACCGTCGGGCGCGTCTTGCTGATATCTGGTTGATGCCTGTTAGTTCGGCCCAGGCGCCCCTGCCTTCATCGGTGAGCGTGAGCGGGTAACCATCGAAACTTCCTATTCCGACGAGAATATCTGGCCAAACCCAGAAATCGACGATGAAGCTCTCCCCGCATCGACGAATCGTACCATTCCCTATACGCACAAGTTTCGAAACAACCTGACAGCCCTGTCCAGCGCCCATAATGTAAGCTCTGACACGGCTCGATGGGGTGGGGTACAGACAGGCCAAAAGTGCTGATCGACGCTTTTCCCGTCCCTTCTAGCTCTACTTCGTCGCGTATTCGCACCGCATATTCGTCTACAAGCCCACCCATGGCACGCGGTCCAGACTCGACTGCCACCCCGACCTCCAGCTCCAGGCGAAGAAGACGGAAAGGGCCCAGGTGGTGGGCGGTACTATAGACCTGCGCCATCGGGGCCAATCCATCAATCACATCATATGCGGCTTCCTGGGGGACAGGGAGATTGTTCTGGCCTGCAGCGACAACGGCGACGTCTTTGCCTTCTACACCGACGACATCGCTGACTCCGTCTTCCGTGAGCCCCGACCGCCGAAGCAGGATATCCTGCCACGCCGGAACACGAACGATGCCGACAGGAAGCAGAAGAAGTCGACGACGACGAACCCGGAACCGTTCTTCCATTCCAACGTCAAGAAGTCGGCGTGGGGGCTCGCCATCCACCGGGCCTCCCGAGTCATAGCCGTGAGCTCTAACCGGGCCGAGGTGACGGTCTTTGCCTTTTCCCTGTCTACCGGCCCAGCCCCGGCTGCCGCCGACGACGATGAGGAAGGGGGAGCGGACAGGGGATCTGTAGAGGCGTGGGTGCGCCACCGCAGGTGCAACTGGAAGATCATCATCTCGCTCCCACCTATGGCGAGTAATGTTCCCAATATCTGCTTTCTCGACAATGAAAAAGGCGACGCCGAAAAGATCTGCGCAGTCGATATCAACGGCAATACCTGGGTTGCCGACATCTGGACGCCGTTTCAACCCATCGAGTGCATACCCATCTCGAGGTTGGCCGAGTTTCACAGTGAAGAGCTTCGTGCCGCACCCCCTAGGTAAGGACACACATACACACATACGCACGCACACACACGCGCGCGCGCGCTTCTCTTACAGCTTACCCGCTCATCACGATCCCATTCGACCCTTACCGTCGGGACGCTGACAATCGCGTGTGAGCAGAGGATGGGGCATCCTTGCACTGCTCGAGAGCCACTTCATGGAGGTTGACACGTTGGAGGAGCTTCTGGGGGCCCCGATACAGTGTTGGGAGATCCCCCCAGCACAACGTCGAGATGTACCCTACAGCTACGCCGCAGACATTGGCCCGACACTCGAGGAGCTGCCTGAAAACCCGTTCCCTCCGTCCGAGAGGATCACGGACCCGTTGTTTGAAGAGGGGCAACCCTGGTGGACGTCTGACGATGACGATAACGGTGATGATGACGATGAGGACAACGACGATGACGACGACGACGACGACGACGACGAAGATGAAGAAGATGGCGACAATGGCGACAATGGCAACGGTGGCGCCTGGGCACCCCAACTGACCGTCACGTTGCCAGCTCTTCTATCGCCTCCGCACGGCAACATGGCCTCTCACTTGCTGGCAGGTGGGCAGACATTTGCGTCACCACCGCCGCCACCACCACCACAAGCACCGCAACCACAACCGGTGCACAATCCGCACCCGACGACAGCACAGACGCCACATCATGACCTGCTCGGCTACCTGCAAGCGCACGCGCAGCTGCCGCACATCTCGCACCATCACGGGCCGCCACAGCAACAGCCGCAGCAGATTCACCACCACGGGGCAACATCACCGCCTCCGACGCATGTGCCGTGGCACACGATGCAGGGCGGGCAGGACCAGGACCCGCACTACACGACCTCGCAGACGGCACCGACCAACGCTCAGCACTGGCTGGCGACGAACCCCAACCCGTTCCAGCAGTCATTCACAGCGCTCGGCCACGCGATAGGGGAGTTTGAGACGGCCATAGACCAGATCATGCATCACTCCGGCAGCGCGCCGGCCTGGGTGCACTTGCCGGGCTCAGACCTGCCGGCTCCCCATGACGCCCCGAACACGGCCCACGGACAGCGGCTCCGGCGGGCGGGGGCAGCGGAGAGCGCGGGGCAGCAGCGCCTGCCCGGGCCGAGCGACGGCGGCGACATGGTGTACCGGCCACGGCAAGGCTGGGTGGATCCGGATCCGGATGCGGGGTTCCGCCTGCCGAGGGAAGACGCGAGGGCCAGGCCGCTGCCGACCAGCGTACCGGACATGAGACGCGGCTGGCGGCAGGCGGCGGGACCGCAGCACGGCGGCGAGGATGCGGCGGACCCGGTGGCGGCCACGGACAGGCTGGAGCCGGGGTACAGCCTGCTGCGGACGTACGAGAAGGAGCTCGAGCTGTTCTGGCTGCCGGACGAGGCCGAGGGCGGACACAAGTCCAGGGACGAGGACATGGGCGTCATCTGCCCCGACCTGCTGTGGCTGCCTAGCCGGGGAAACATGGCGCTGGCTCCTCACTTCGAGGCGACGAGCAGGATGAACATGGTGGTGCACATCCCCGAGCTGAGCGCCGTGGTCCTGGGGTCCCCCACGGGCCACGTGGCTCTCGCGACCCTGACGCGGCTGTCGCCGGGCGGTCGATCCCGTCCGAGTCCGCCGCCTCGGCAGCGGAGGCAGCAGCAGAGGCAGAGGCAGCATGGGAAGGAGAGGCTGGCGGATACGGATGCGACGCACCCGCCGTGGAACCGGGGCCTCCGCATCGACTGCATCCTGCCACGGCGGTCGGACGAGGTCCACAGGCCCCGTAAGGAGGCGAGGCCCCTGTACGGGCTGGCCGTGGGGCCTGCACCGCTGGCGGATGACGGGCGCGTCGGCGGCGGTGTCGGCATCATCGTGCCGAAGAGGTTCAGGCTCGTGCTTCACTACCAGAATCATCTGATCCTCACGTACGAGGTTACGAGGGATGAGCAGACGGGGAAGCTGACGATCTTCTAGGGTCTGGAAGAAGAAGTATACGGGTGCTCGGGATTGTCTCTCTATGCTGGAGATTGAATGGAACGAGGGCTCTATTCCTGGACATGTCGGAAGCGTTTTATTCTCTTCTTCTTTCTCATCCTCCCCCCCCCCCCTTTTTTTTTTTTTTTCTTCCTTTCTTTTTTTCTCTGGCATCTTTTCTTCTTTCCCCATCAGCGAGTTGGTAGGATTGCGTGTATATATACATACCCATCGAGCGCTGTTCTTTTGGCACCTGAGGCAGTTCTGGCGAGTCAGTCGTAGGAGGACCGAGGAACCGGATGGCGGGATCGGATATTGAAAGGACCAAATGTGGTTGGGTCAAGGTCAAGGGTCGCTGCGTCAAGTCGTCTGGACAGGACAGGACAGGGACAGGACAAGGGACTACTAGTGCCTTTTCCTTTTTCCTCTTCTTTCTTCTTACATTTTCTTCTAATTTTAATATTTAACATTTCTTTTAGTTTCTCTTTCTCCTAAGCTGTACTAAACGATAATCTGATCAGACTCTTCTGATTGGCCGATGACTCGGGTGTTAGCAATATCCATTTCTGCAGAATTGCCGTGAAAGAGTGGGGACGATTCGGCAGACCAATGACATGGGACGAATCCGGGGTTTTCGTCAGTCATTCTCTTCAGTCATCCAATTACCATTACGGAAATATTTTATTCTTCCATCTCTCCCCCCTTTCCCTCCCCGGCAGAATATCTACATCCACCCCCCCTTCTCATCCTCTTAGTCGGTATTCATACGTTGAAATAAAAAAATAAAAAAATAAAAAAATGTCCCCCCCCCCCGTTCCTTCTCTTCTTACGTTGATCTATGTGCTCTTGCTTTGCGTGTGCTGTATTCTCTGGAGGGACGTGATTGGTCCATCTTGTCGTTCTTGTTATCAGTTTGCCTCCTTCTCCAACTTCCATGACATGATGGAGTCGATTGTATGGACTGATGCATAATTCGTAATTCACCCAGGAGAGGCAAAAAACCGCACTACCGGGGATCTCAAGTTGCTCTTCCTGGGGGCTCTGCGTTCTTTCCCGTATCTCCCCGATACGGAACGTTCGCTCTCCTTCCCTCTTTTCTCTTCTGGTGGCGATGTTGGCGGGTGACGGGTCGGAGAGGCAGGTACATACATGATGGTCATCCTGAGAATTCCCTGGGACAGGACGGCACGACACTTGGGATCGAGCCAGCAGGTATCGCTCCACTACGTCGGATAGATGGTATCCTGTATCATTCCGAGGTGTGCTGGGTAGACGATACAGAAGAGATGACATAATGTCCCAACCCCCCCCCACGTGAAGCGCAAGGCGTCGAGAGAAGTGATCAAGTGTACATCTGTACTCGGTGAAAAAAAGAAGAAAAGAAGAAAAAAGACCCGAACGGAGACTTGTCCGATCATCGGCTCGACCTTTCGACCGAGGAGAGCGGGAAGCAAGGCAGGAAGACATGATGGCTATCACCGATGCCACTACCTGTACGGATAAATAGATTCTACCAACATACAGCACTAATCTGTACTGATCACCACAACAGGTCTCTGACCACAAGAACACGCCACACTGCCGTGGGAAGAGAAGAAGAAGAACCAGAGAGTCTGTCCGGACATGTACAGGCGAAGAGACGTCAGAGTCGACGGTTGCTGCCGTGAGAGAGAGAGAGAGAGAGATCAGGTCGACGTCGACGTTTCATGATAGGGTGATATGCTGGGACCTTGAAACCCTCGGGACCTTGGGGGAGCATGAGTGGAGGAGGAGGAGGAGTGGTTTGCATTGATCTCTATACATGTGCAGCTCATCTCATCAGCGAAGAACTAGATGATACCTACAAGTACGGAGTGGTGATTGCTAGCAATGCTACAGATTATACTCATGGCAATGTGTCAGCAGTATTGATATTACTTTTCGTGTACATAAACCTCGTGTGGGAATAACTGTCACCACCCCCCCCCCCCTTCCCTTGTTTACGAGTAGAAGAAG